CATGTCTAAGCATCCAACAGGTGCTCCAGGAGCCACCAGGGCCCAACTCTGGGAGCGAAGCGACCTTTCAAGCTTCAACAAGCTTCTCAGAGGTTAAGAGAGTCAGACTATGGAAGGTGAGCGTCGAGGAATGTGGGACCCACTCGGTCTTCCATCATCTGACATAGTATGAACACTAATCTGCCGGTGTACGTCCTTCGGTCAAACAACAGTTCGTCGGTGCTGATCTGCGAGCAAAATTAGCTAAGGCAGTTGGACTTACACAAGCCGCGACGTTCCTGTCATTTCAAAATTAACATGAAATAACATGAAGGATGGTATGAGCACTCCTATAACTAAAGCATGGAGCCCTCCAAGGTGAACATCGTCTACAAAGAGGTCTTTGTTCAACCATCCGCCCGTTTTTGCGCCTGGATGCCAGGCCCAAGAAGGTTGCCAGTGGCAATGCCCTGAATATTGCCATCCTCGCCGATAAATAATGGTCAGACTGTCGTGGGCCGTAAAGAAGTGATAGTGATAGACTGAATCGCAAGACTACACTTCTTGATGTTGGTTCAGTGGAGAGCGCTTGGGATCTGACGTTTTGATTGTGCGCCACGTCACCTGAACAAGAATAGAACGTCTAGATACTGTATGCAATATTCTAGCTTTTGGAGCAACTGCCCCGTCATGAGCTTGAAAATCCTGGTTGATGAGCTTGTGTAACATGTTTCTCCTTGATGCAGCAGTTCTGCGTCAGCTATAGCACCTATGAGAGATATGAGCCAATGTATGTGTCCAAGCCCAAGTCTGCTGCCAGGCTACCAAGCATGGCAGTCAGGTCACAATGGGTGTCATCATTGAAGGAATGCCTGTCACAGAACACTGAATACACATCCCAAACATGTCGATTCATGGAGCGATGGGCGAAAGGCTCCACAACTCTCCACAACCGACCTACGGCACAGCCCTGCCAAAGGAAAAAGCGAACAACTGATCTGTGGTCAAATGCCGAGCTGCGCAGTGCAGCCACGTCCAGGAGGTACATCTGGCAGATCTCTCAGACCACCAGCCCAAAGCAAACGCCTTCGCACCTCCTCCCAAACTGGAAAGCTACATGCTACTGTAAGAACATGTGCTTAATCACACTCTTGCAGCCGGATGTTCAAATCAGGTATATACTGCTGGTGCACAAATTGTTGTAGGTAGTTTCTTTCCTCGCCTGCCATTCACCACTAAGCTCTTCAGTGCTGAGCGTTTTCACGCGGAAGTGAATGCCCTGCAAGCGCTCGAGCGCAGTCCCTGGATACTGTGGGTCCACCTGGCAACAGAGACATGAAAAGGCATCATCTTTGAATCCAGTCGTTCTTTCCTTGTCTAGCAGCTGCATCGTGATCTTGCAGGGGGGTGTATTTCAGTGTATAAGTTGATTTGTTCCCGAATGCGTAGCGAAGGGTTCCCCTTTAACTTTGGGAGTCTGAGGGTAGAGCGTTGTTTGCATGACGTTGGCGTCGTGTTCGCAGCTGTTCACAACCCCGCAACCGTCCGCAACCGTCCACAGCCGTCTGAACGTGATTGATAAGGCTCTGCCATTAGGGAAAGGGTTTGGAGGAGGTTTTGCATGGAAGTGCGCAGGTGCAGGGATTGGGGCTCGCAGGGTTATATTTTGGAGGTGTTGGACGTCGCCGTGCCATTGGGATCTGCGTTGCAGGCTGTTGCATCGGAGCAGTGCTTTAGTGAGAAATCAAAAATTGCGGCTTTGGTGCATGTGAGTCAGTGAGACTAAGTGGTGAATTGGATCAGACCGGTTTCGTTTCCTATGGTTTTTGCATGCAAACATTGAAAAACCACAGTTTAAATTAAACAACAACAATCAACAAAAAATTAACACATCATATATGTTTGACTTTAAACTGTGTTTTTCAGCAACCCCTTGATACGCTGCTTTCTGGGGGCTAGGCTAGGGTGGGCTGGAACCTGCGTTTTCCCTCAGAAAAAAACAAATCCAGACTCAAACCCAGACTCAAATCCAGACTCAAAACAAACAGATTGACTCAATCCCAGACTCAAACCCAGACTCAAATCCAGACCCAAATCCAGACTGACTCAAATCCAGACTCAAATTCTCTGTTGCTGAGTCCGGATATGTTTTTTTTCCTCCGTTCAACCTTCTGCTACTTGAGTCTCCAGTTGAGTGTGTTTTTGTTTTTGGTCTTGAGTTCTGGTTTTGGGCTGAGTCTAGGTTTGTTTTTTGTGTTTGTGTTTATTTTGAGTAGTTTGTGTGTTTTGAATTTTTCATCTCGAACCTCTTCTGTGTGTGTGTTCGGGGTCACAACGCTAGCCCGCACGATTGATCGCGTGTGACAAGAGAAGCTTGCCACACGATTGATCATGTGTGACTATAACTGTGCAGCAGTTGACAACAATTGACCACGCCGCTCTTGATCGCTCTGATGGAATATATGAGAAAAACTCTGAGACCACAAAAGCCTGCAGAAATCCTGTCAGGGCAACGCTCAGCGCGTTAGTATTGTCCATAGTTTTTCTTGGTTTAGGTATGTGTTAAATGTTCACACATGTTTCATTTGTCCACATGTTTTACAGTTGTTCTCATTTTTAGCATGTTCTATGCACTTTTGAGATATCTCGAGATATTTTGAGATGTTGTTTCTGGAACACTATTTTTGTAATGCCGAAACCTTTCCCACGAAACCCGGTTGTCAAATGATTTGAGATCTTTTGGCATGTTTTGAAGATTTAAAAGATTTGTTAGGTATTGAAAAGGTTTTTGAAGATTTTGAAAGATTTCTGAAGATTCCAAAAGATTTCTGAAGATTTGAACAAGTTTTAAAGTCTCTTAAGATTTGTAGATAACATTTTGAATGTCTTCCATCATATTTGTCTTTTTATTTCATTTCCATCATTTCATGTTTTTAGTTGCTTTTTTTCTTCTTTATGTATCTTTATGTCTATGTATGTATATTTATATATATATATGAATTTTGTATTTGAAAAACAATTACTGATCTAGACCACTTGACATGTGCCCCACCACTTAGCGCCAGTGAGTGAGTGTGCAAACCACACTCACATCCACCAAAACTGCAATTTTGCGCTAAGTGCCAAAATCATTCCAAACGTTTGGTGTGATGCAAATTTTGCTGCAGACATAAAGATGTGATGTAGTGATGTAGTATGATGTAGTAACCTTTCGTGGCAGGCGCAGTACTTTGCGTGTGGGAGGTGAGGAAGTTAAATTTTCGTGGCAGGCGCATGGAAACGTGAGGCTGCGACGATTGGTGGAGGTGAATGTCGCTTTGCTATTGGGATTGGTGTGTCGGGCTGTGGCGTTGAAGGCTGGGATTGCGAAACTGCCTGGCAGGGCTGCTTGATCAAGTGTGTCCGACAAGAGTGTCCCGCAAGTGTGAGTGGCCACAAGATCCAAGGCTTCTCCAAAGAGTGTCCCTACAAGAGTGCCCTGCAAGAGTGTCCCCACAAGAGCGTCTTCTACAAGAGTGTCATACAAGAGTCTCCCACAAGTGTCTCCCGCAAGAGTGTCCCACAAGAGTCGATCCTACAAGAGGGTCCAACAAGGGTGTCAAACAATGTTTGGCCGTTTGTTTTCCAGTGTATGTCTGTGCATTCCGGATCGTGAGCTCCATAATTTTGTTGTCTCCATCTCCATGTGGACAGGAGGAGAATGTGTGCAAGCGCCACCCATTTGTGCGGCCATCCATCCGTCTTACGATTTGTTCGTTTATCTATCCATTTACTAATTGGCTTGTAAACAAACAAATGCAAGTGGTGTGCTCCTACGAGTCTATGCCGCAAAAACCTTGCAACCGTGCAAGCAATGCAAAACAAGCCTTTGCATGCGCCTGCACATGCAAAGTCGATGGGCAAACCGGCGCGCAAAGAGCAACCAGCGCAAGCAGCGCAACCTGGGGTTGATCAAAAAGGTGCACTGGTTGCTCGAGCCATCTAGCCAGCCCTTCAAGATGGCTCCCTTTTTGATCAACCCCAGGCAGAAAAGCATGATGTTTCATCTCGTCTTGCGTCCGCAGAAAGCTGAACCCGTGTCTTGCTCCGTTGGTTCATGTTGATTCGTTCGATAAGGATCGAAAGGAAAGCCACAATGATCAAGTTGTAGAAAGCAAACGTGTCAGCATGGAAAGAAACCAAACCAACCAACTGTTCTTTTCTACATCAGCGTTCAACACATGAAATGCGAAGTGAATCTGCATTTCACTGGTAACTGGTAGGCTGGGTTCCCTCATGTCTGCCCCTATCACCAATAAGCTCCCCATCCCACCTGCACACTAAAGCACCGAGCCCACCGCTTTGGGGCACGTGGAGCATGCAAGCGAACACCAAGACGGGCGAAGGCCATAGCGGTCATGGTGCTTCGGATAGCACTCTTTGTCAAGTCAACTAGTAGCGATGCACTTGTTACTACTAGCTTCTTGTTACTACTAGTAAGGCACCTGTTACTAGTAGCGATGCAAAACAGCCTGAGGGTTTCTAGCAGGTTGTCATGGTAGATGGTCTTGACGCAATTCATCAAAGCAATGGTATAATATTTACTCGTGTTACTCATGTTACATGCCTGCTAGGCTATGATCAATTCGCACTCCTTGGTTTTCTACAGCTGCCATTGCACTCCAGTAGCATGTGTGAAACTAAGAGTTCTTCGACATTCCGTCCGTTCCAATATTAGAAATCATTGTTTTGCTGTCAATGCGTGCTCATTAAATTACATCAAATGAATTCAAATGACGATGATTCCTCGGATTAAGTTTGTCACGAAGGCTATCCTGCTTCCGCAAGTGTGGCAGCAGTCTGTTGCAGTTTGACATTCCGAAAGAGTCAGCCGATGGCAAAGTTCTTGCGGCGTGTGCGGCAAGAGTTCTTGCGGCGTGCAGCAAAACTTGCAGTCTCATACAGTCCAAGTTGGGCCCCAACGAGCATGCAGTTTCCAGCAAAAGAAAAGCAGTCTTGAAATGTTAGCTGGGCCCCCAGACTTGTTGTGATGGATGTTCTCGCCAAGTTCATGTGGAGTAATTCCGAAAGCCTTCAAGGAAAGCACGTCGATTGACCTCGGAAGCAGGCCAGCTGGCCAACCCCAACAGCGGAGTAGTGGTCTAATTGCCTCGACTGGAAGACAGGGAGCTAGACTTGGATTCTAGGGGCGGCGCTCTTTGATGCCAAGCTTCTCATCAAACTTTGACCTCCTGGATGGCCCAGGCATGGCGCGCCGCGAAATAAAAGAAAGAGATGAACAATGGAAGGTAACGCCCCGTGACGCCTCCTTCAAAGGGACCTTACCTGCATTTTCTCATCTCTATTTTTTGTTTACATTATTTAGCCCTTAACTTCTGCATATATATATAATATACACATAATACATAAACATATGTCTATTATTGGGTTGAGCCCCATAGAGAAAATTTGCAAATTTGACGCGCCTTGCCATCTTCATGACTGCATCCACTGAGGAAGTTGTGCTTCGCAGCGACCTGGTCGAATCTTGGGGGAGTGTCGCACAACTTGGGCAAAATCTCTGGGATGCGTTTTGGAGTGAGCCTTGACTGCTGCCTTTCCCCATCTTTCCCCAATGTCATGTTCTTGAATTTTGTTACCGACCCTGATGGATAAGACTGGCTATGCACACCCTCAGCGCCGGGCTCCCCAGATGGAGTTGTAGATGGATGCATGGCTTTGAGCCTGGCAACTTTGCTCCAGGCTGCATATTACTTTGGTGTTACTCTGAAAGATGTTACCAGGTATACCATTATACTTATTATATATATATATATACAGTTTAGATACAATGTTTGTGAAGAGCACTTCTGCAGGAATTCTATGTGGCATCCTATGGTCTAGTCTAGCGAGGTGCCATGCGGTAATTAAAAGTACTCTCCACCAAGAAAGTAAACACTAAGTACCAATCACTGTAAGTGTGAGAACTCACACGCCAACATTGTTGTCCAGGCAGTCTAAGTCAGGTGTAAACTTAGCACGAACGACCAGTCTTGTGCATCTCGCTGAAATTGTTCTGCATCTGGATGGTTCCAGACCTGAGAGATTCGAAAGTCGGATATAGTGGATAGCTCAACATAGAGAGTCGCAGGTTCCAGCTTGACTTATCCCCACCCGACCAATCAGCAAGGGAAGCAGTTGGAGGGGCATCAGGCATTCCTGTTTTGATGTTTTCATTTCGTATCAGGTTTCGCTTGTCTGTACTTTTTGTGGGTTGTCATTGCCATTCCACACCATGTCATTGGTGTTCTCATTGTGCAGTGTGATTATTCCTGATCATGTTCTATCTTGGTTTTTATATGTTGCTGCAATGCGGATGTTCCGTGTTGCATGCCGCTGATGTTGTCATTCTGCTTACTGTTACGCTCGTGATTGTATTATAACTTGTCGTTACTGCTGAGACTGGTCGATGTTGATACTGTGGCCACTGGGCTGCCCAGGTGAGGCATGGGACTCACGAGACGGCTGGATTCGGCTGGATGGGTGGGAAGACTGGAAAGGTACTGAGTTCTATACTGCCACAGTGGGAATACTGGGTGGGGCATGCAGCAGAGGTCAAGACACATTGCTCAAAACAATATATACCCTCGGGTTGGGGACAAGTCTTCCACAGCAATATAAACGGTCTTCTCCCGACATGTTTACCAAATCATCACTAAAAATGTTTTCACCTGAGCAGATCGCATCCCGCTGAACTCTCTGCTTGATGTGGTCAGGTACGGAAGTTCCTGCTTGTTCCAACTTCTGAGTCCATTCAAGGAGAAGCAGGTATCGCTTCCAAAGTGGCTGCCACAAGAAGTCATACTCCTGGATCGTCCACAGGTCTTCCTTGGTTAGAGCCTTTGCAACCATCCACCAGACATGTTCCACGATGTAGACAAGCTCTAACTTCTTGTCATGCAACTTCGATAGAACACGCACAATGGCAGTTTCGGTGATCTGTCGCTCATAACCACGGCTCCTGAAGGCCTGATTGTAAATCCAACGAGCCTCTGTTTGATATTCCTCATCTGTCCAGGAACGCACACTGTTAGCTTGTCCCTGACAATATGTCTGCAGCCAGCGTTCTGGCTCTTGGCTGTTTGCAAAGGCTTGGTCCACAGGAAGTTGGTAGGACTTCTCCAGAACATCGGGATCCAAGGCATCGCACAGCGGCAGAACAGCTTCAACGGCCGTGGCATCTGCTTCAGTCGACTCTTGTTTTGCGGCTAATGATGCAGCCGCGGCTGCTTCAGCAGCGCCAAGGCTGGCATGAACAGCAGGAGGAGCATCTTCATCGCCGCCTTCAAGTTCTCCCAAAGGTCTCAGCACAGAGGTATCGCCAAAGACATTTGTCACCCAATCGAGCTTGCTTGGGGTGAGACCAAATTGAGCATCATCTACTTGTCCGAACTGGTCATCCACAAGGAAGCTCTGGACTGACTGCTTGTCATTGTCCGAGTCATCGTCCATCTGTTCGGCCAGCACCTGGCTGACATCTTGGAAAAACCAAGCGTGCTGTTACTACAGAACACATCAACTCCTTTTCAGCCCTCTTACAGCCCGCCAATGTGTTTTTGAAGATTTTATCATGTTGCAAACGGATGTATCGTAACTGTACCTCATGTCTTAAAGATCAAAAGGTGAGGTAGCTGCAAGAGTAAGGAAACGGCTGAGCATGTTCGAGTGCATAGCCTTCCTTGCTATGTCAAAATGTTCAAATGCTTGAAGTTGTGATCCCTTCTTGCTTTCGGTCACTCACCTTCTCAAGGCCAGATTGATTGATGCCTTCCCCGAAGATATCCTCCATTGTGATGTTGGACTCATCAGCCTCGCCACCATTTTCTCCATTCCTTGCACGCTTGGCAGGGGGCTCCTCTACCTCTGCCATGGCCACGGGTGATGCGACGGCATAGCAAAACCTACACCGCCAATGGGATTATCTGATGCAATCGAACAGCTTCAAGAAAACTGGATGTTCACTGCGGATCTTAGCAGAGTTGGATTGAGCTGGCAATGAAGTGGGCTGAGGTGGATTGGGTGGGCTGGGTCTTGGTAGGCAATGCCAATAATTTGAATTACTGTGCTTGAGCGGACAAAGAGAGAGAGAGAGAGAGCGCGCGCGCACGCGCGCAGTGTAAATGGTTTTGCCACATCGACTCCACTGCTGATCAGTTTTTGCAAAGGTGATAGCATCTTGTCTAAATCATTCCCTTGCGCCCTGCTCTTCTTACAGACGCTCTGAACAAATTTATGGCACTGTTGTTTTTCTTCGTCAAATTAGCACCATCACAGGAGCAAGCGGTCTGCAGCTGCTTCCAGGTCACCACCTCAAGGTCATGTGGAACACAGTGCGTTTCTGCATTCATGAACCCGGTCATCGTAAAAGCAAACGAATCTACGTGCACAAGTCTGCTGCTGCGTTCAAAAAACCAAAGGTATCAAAGCTGTGGGTGCACGTACAGTCAATAAGTTGGTCGATGGCACCTGTAGCCCTCAGGGCACGTCGCGCATCTTGCTCATCAATGCCAAGGACTGCAAGCTGTTCCACCTCCGGTTGAGGGTCGAGAACACGGAGGAGATATGTTCAATTGTCAAGTCCTAGAAGTTGAAAGCTATCAAAAAGAAAAGCATATAGCTAGAAATTTGAAGCTGGATGCTGTGCTTTTGGGAAACATATTGAAATTCATATAAAATCTATATACACCTGAGAAGGGAGGGGACGAAAGCTCAGGGGGGTGCCCTCAGGGTAGGCCCGGGCAAAGACTTGGCGTGCAAGAGGAAGTGATGGGGCAACATCGGGCAAAAATTATAATCATCCTGGAGTAGATAGAATTTCAAAAACAATTCACTCCTCAAAACCGGCCCTTCCAAACCCCATAGATAGAATATGGTTGTAGGGGTTTCTCTTCCTTTTCCTTTGTTGTCCTTTTCCTTCTCTGTTCGTTCTATTTTCTGTTCGTCTAAAAAAAAGAAAAAAGGAAAGGAAAGCTTAGATAATACACATAGGAACAGAACATGAAAATAACAAAGGAGCAAATACCGGAATGGGAGGAGTTGATACGAATCTTATCACTATAATTCACTATATTATTCTATCTATAGGCTATAGGGTCAGTCTTCATAAAATGAAAGGGATGTCAAAAACCCTGAGTTTTTGCAAAAAGAAAAACACCCCCTAAGAAAGTAGATTCTATCTACTCCAGGATGATTATAATTTCATGGGGTGAAGTTGACATCGCAGCCACACTGATAGGGGATAGAAATGAAAAGTAGAAGACATAGGTCTGGGAGGGGGGGGGTGCCCTTTTTCGCCCCGGTTCAGGGGAGATTTGGAGGTGAAAACGGGCACCCCTCAGGAAGTGAGGCGCGCTTGCCGGCGGCGTGTTGCGTGAGCAGAGACGGCGGTGGGGTTCATGTGCGAGGCTATGGGTAGGATAGGTGAGTATATATATATATATGTATGTGTGTGTGTAGGTAGAGTGGACAAAGAGTAGCCGGAAGTGGTGAGGTTGATATTGGGGCGACGTGAGTGTGCAAGATGCAGTGATAGGCTAACATTATGTAAAGAGTACGCAGTACGTGTATGGGGTGAAGTTGGCATCGCAGGTACGTGATAGGAGGTAGAAATAGACGGGAGAAAAAAAGGGGGGTGCCCTTTTTCGTCTGGGTTCAGAAGTGTTGTGGAGGTGAAAAAGGGCACCCTCAAAGATGTTACGTGAATTCGTCGGCTGCGTGTTGGTAATGAGTGACCAGAGACGGTCGTGGGCGAGGCTATCGGCAGGCTTTCGCGAGGACATATACTGTCTCCAACGCTTGCAAGGCGCAATCTCTTCTCTGCCCCCAACAACCCCCCAATCCACGTGAACTCCCACCGAATAGGGGGTGCCCTCTTCAGTCCGGGTCTCTCGCAGGCCCTCAACAAATGGCATCATGCACCCCATATGGGGTGCCCTTTTGAGTCCAGTAACTAGACCTTGCCACATTCAAAACCTTCCGCCTCCAACGCTTGCCCGCTACAATCTCTTCTCTCTCCTGCCCTCCATCACTCAACCCAACAACTCCAAATCGTCTGCCTCCAGCGCTTGCTCGCTGACCTTCCACCTCCAACGCTTGCCGGCTGCAATCTCTTCTCTCTCCTGCCCTACAACCCCCCAATCCACGTGAACTCCCACCGCATAGGGAGTGCCCTCTTCAGTCCGGCAGCAACGCTAAGCTTAGCCACAACTACAATCTATTTTCTTTCCATGGCCTCCTGAGCCCCTCGTGCTGCTGATGATGCACTCTTCGCCCTCAATTACATCACTGGCATCGCAACACCCCTCAAACCACTCATTTTTCACTACCAAGTGGCCCACCTCTTTTTTTCGCTCTCCCCCATCAGGCTCTGGGTGCACCTCTCCGAAATTGGCCCTCTTGCGACCACCCCCCCCACACCCCCTTTACTCACTTCGTTCGCTCCAACAACCTCAAGCCCAGCCTACTGGCTGGCTTTCGTGATTTATGATCCTTGAATGGTCCGGCATGCGAAGGTTTTGACATGGAAACGAACTGGGCAAATGAAAGTGGGAGGATACTCTTACAGGATAGCCAACTGCCACTGGGTAGCATTTCAACTCTGGTGGGATTCTCTTGTATATGAGAGACTGTTACTTCTCAGGGAAATCCGCAAGCTAATTTCACCCCGATAACCGATATGCCTCAGACTGGAAGTGGTCAGGCTCTGATACCTCATGGTGTGCCTCCAAGGTTTGCATCAAAAGAGCAGGCTGAAGGCACTGAGATGCGCTGAGAATGCAAACACGAATGGAGCAATTCAGGCTCTGAGCGCTGAGGCTCCTGCAGATTCAGTACGGCTAGGTTGCGCTTCCTCCACTTCCTCCTCTGCTGAGGGAGCTCGGTCTATAGGCGACATGGCCGTGGAACTGCGGGATGTGGGATAGGCATCATCCCTCAGGTCATGCAATTTGTGGGTCCAAACAAAAAGCTTCAGCGCAGGACACAAACATAAAGCCTTAAAAATGCATCAAGTAATTAATTTAATCATTAACCACTGTCAGCTTCCTAGCTGAGCCCACCGCTCCCGTGAAGCTCCAGGAACTGGCCACACAATTGCAACTTTCAACTTTCTGAGATCGAACACTTTGTTCTCAAACTACTTTGGTGTTCTGGCAAGATACCTCCAACCACAAAGACCTTTGAGATATCCGTTGATTTTCAAAAATTTCTAAGCAAGAACGTGTAAACTGTTCGTTGGAGGTTTTTGACGCTGCTCACATGCAATGTGATCATTTGTGCCTCATCCTTCGTTTCTTAAATGGAAGCTTGACTGCGGTGTGAAAGCACCGATACGACTTATAAAAGCACATACAATTCAGTGCGGACATTGTTTTCAACCAGGCCTGGTGGCAGCGTGCAGGTGTGCCCTTGACCAGGACGTTTCTGCCTTTCTCTGGCTTTGATGTACTCCTGAGGTGAGAGCTTAGTGTGTTCATCCAATAACTAATTTACTGTGCATCCATCTGCACAGCTGGGGGAGCGTCAACTTCAAGCGAAGGAAAAGACATGATAAGACTAAAGTATACGAAAGTACACGGCATCCATCACAAATCACAACACATAATAACGAGCAACCTTCTCATCTAAGAAGCCCTTTTCCCAAGACCAAATCATAATCGTAATCTCCGTCATGCAAACCGCTTGCCTGGGCATCCTCCACGCGGAATTCGATTCGCGTGGAGCTTCGCATCAACATGGCTGCAACGGCACTGCAACAGCAATAACTACGTTCAGTCAGCTTGGCTCCTGGTGAGGTGAGGTGCAACCAGGAGGTGTTCCTCCCCTCCGAAATGCATCGAGTCAAGCCTTTCCCAGAAATGAGTCCCCTCCTCATCTGACTCAGAGTGCCTAGACTCGTGCGATTTGAGCACTGCTGCTGCAAGTTCTCAGTCAATCGCAGTCAGCTGCGGATTTTTGGTTTCAGAACATAGGGCATCGCTACTATGCAAGGACGCTATGAGGTGGAGGCCATCGCAAGTAGGTTGGAGGCCATCGCTACTAGTAGCAAGAAGCTACTATTCTCTTCGCACGTTGAAGCGCACGTCTGCATTTTTGAGCCGAACCCTGCCGAAACAAGGTCACTCTGGTGACTTCCTGCACCCAGTTGGGTGCAGTTGATAATATGCCGCCGCAAAGGAGACATGTCGAAACAAAAACGCAGCAGTGGAAATCTGTTCCTTTCCCATCTCTTGTTCTTCAGGTTCCTTTTTTGTTGATCCTGACGCTGGCTGGTCCTGGTGCAATCGTCCTTGTTGCTCCCTCCACCATTTATCCCCCTCGTTGTTCCCTCCACTCTCCACCTTCTCCACATTCTCCTCTCTTTCTCTCCTTCTCTTCTTCTCTCCCTCTCTCCTTCTCTCCTTTCTTCCCAGTAGCCGTTCTCTGCTTTACTGTATAATAGGTGAATATATATATATACCATTCTACAAGTGTGCCCCTCTATTCCTGCTGCATTGTTCTTACTTAGCTTTCAACTGTCAACTTCTTTAGCAACCCTCTTTGCAGGTGTGCTGTGGACCTTCTGGTCTTCTTATCTGTCTAGTCGCTTGCTTTGTCTTGTGGCATCGTTAAACCAACTCATATTAGCCTCAACTGGCTTCAACACAAAGTTGGCCTACTGCCAATCTCCTCTGCTTTGTCTTGAGCTCTGTTGGCCCGAAATGCCCACAAATGGGCAGCGACATAGAGGCACAATATCGGTCAACTCGCAGTTTGAAGTGGCGACATCGTCCCAACTGCTGAGAAGCACAAGGCCAGCGCCCAAGGTGTCATGTTGGTCAAAATTATCTATGAGGAATCCAAACTCCAATGACTAAATCACAAAATAAGAACGGTTTGTGTCACTAACAGAAAAGCTTCAAATGAGCATGGCCAAGGGGAATGGAATGGCTTGCAAAATGCGACCGCGACCATGGTTGCTTAGACGTTCTACTCGAGAGGTCCAAGTGTATTCAAGGGTATGCTGGGTCAAAATCACTCAAGCCACATTCCACCCTTCCCCAGGCTTCCGCACATCTCACAAGGCTGGGCAGTCCATCTCTTCACTCTCTGCAAAGGTGTGTCGCCCAGCCCTCTGAGGCACAGTGACAGAATTGAGGTCGGCCACCAGACGAATGCTGCAGCACTGGAGCTTTGTGTGCCTGAACATGCTGAAACTCAGCAACTAGTGTCTTGTCAGCAACTAGAGCTTTGTATCGCTTGACAATCAGTCTGATCTGTGATAATGATAGAGTGTGATCTCCACCCATATATATATATATATAAATCAAATGAATCTGAAAATCTGCAATTCGACTATCATACAGCACTTGTGTGATAGCATTCCAACACCACAACCCCAGCACCTACAGCAACACCGGCCGGCCTACAGAACTGCCACCGTGTTTCTTTTTTGTGGTGCCTTCTTGGCCACTTCCCGAGCAGTTGTTGGAATCTACGCGCCCGCTGAATGAAGCTGGCTAAGCTGACGGTCATTCTCCGCACACCGAAACTGGTGTAAAATTGGCCGCCGTGACACGTGACACGTGACACGACTGTGTCACTGGCAGCGTTCAAGAGTGCAACAGCCCACTGGCGAAGCATTGATTCCTCCGTCGACAAGCAACAGGCAAAATTGACAAAGGCTGCTGCTCCCAAGCCAGCTTGCCAGTGTGCTCAAATGCTGCAGCAATGTGTTTATTGTGCAATGCCATCGCTAGTAGGTTGGAGGCCATTGCTTTTAGGTTGATAATCTTCAAATCTCGCGTTTGAGCACCTCGCTGGTCTGGTTCAGGTCCACAAAGTGCCGGGTGTGGCACTTCGACGGACTATGAGACTATCCTTTTGTTTGAAAGAAAGCGCGATCGAACAGCATATGGCAATTCGCTCCTTCCAAGAGTAGGTGAGATCTCTGCATGGCTGAAAGGGTCCACTTAGCGATCATGGCTCAGAAGCCAACGAGCGCTTGGGTCCACCAATTAATGGTAAATCTTTGGGCGGACAACGAGTCCCAATGTGTCCTGCTCTGGTCACTCTAGTCTTCACAAAAAGATACAAAAACGGTTTCTCAAAACGCTCCCTGTTGAAGCAGGCCCTTCTTTGGGTTTGGTTGCCCCCCAAGCCGAAAGGAACTCGCGGGATGGTCCGGGATGGTGAAACATCAAGAGAGCACAGTGTTGATCAGTATTGTAGCTTTGCAAGAAGACTGCTTGAAACGGCGCTGACAGGTCCACGGACGTTGAGTGAAAGTTGTAATACTTGTCAACACACAACAGGATGCGCTCTTCGTCGCAACCCCGACATGTTCAACTTTGCTTGAGCTGGAAGCTTTTCTATTTGTCAGCATGTCACAGAAAAGCAAACAATCGTGCTTCACAAAAGCGCTCCCAAAGCACTTTGGGGTCCTAGCTTCTGCCTGTAATGCCTCTGGAACAAAGCACCACAGCGCGACTTGCGCCTGAGTTGCTAGCTTCACAGCGGCTATAAGATGGAACGCAGGTTGCGGAGATCTGTGCGTTCAACTGTGAAACCCTACACCTTGCTTCTAGAAGCAAACTTTCCGGTAGCAGGTGCAGAAACCAAGCTGCAGCAAATGCGGAAGTTTCAGCAGACTTGACATGTCTTTCTCTTCTCTTGACATACTCCAAAAATCTCAAAAAAACATCTTCATGCACTCTGCGCAGGTAATACCGTCGTCAACCCTTTTGCATGGCTTGACATCTATGCACCTGGTTGGCAATTGAAATTTCTGTGCTATAAATGTGAAACATCCTTGATCGGGAGCAACAGGACAAGAATTGAGGAAGCACGATAAGCACTTTCAATGGACAACTCACAGAAAACGTCTTCCAGTTCATTGTCCCAGCTTGATAGTTTAACGAGCGTTGGAAGCTTACGATCGACTACAATATATAGATTGATCAAGTCAATTTGCATTCTTTGCTCGGTACACTGCCTTCACTGAATGCTCTTCACTGGTAGACAGCGGTCAAATGCTCCCAATGTTTGCCCTGGGCTTCGAAAGCATTTAACCTGAGACATTCGAGTGTGGTTTATGAGATATATTCCTGCGAAATACGACTGGCAGTGCCAGAGGTCCCCCGATCCTCAACCTCTCGCTCCCAAATCCCTGAGTCACGTCTCCAGAGCAGAGTTAATTAATTCAAAAATGTAGTTGTTCACCCGTGCCACATCACTTTTCGGGCAATCACTTGGCCCACCCCCAAGGGTACAGGCAGGATTCAGTGGTAGCGTCACCCTATCAGTGCTACAAGTCCGAAAGAAGTAGGCTCTCACTGTAACGCTTCCCATGTTGCAGGGACTTCGAGTGAATTTTGCGAAGACTCCCGAAATCTCCCGAAGACTCCACATTCAGGGGTGTGTTCATTACAATAAGTTCTCGGACTTGAGTGCATGCAGAAACAATCAACAGGCTGAGGCCCTATATTTGGGGTGTAGTCCAACTCTGCTCAGAGGTGCACATCATGCTTGAAATTGAATTTATCACACTGAGTGAATCGAATGAATCACACTGGTGAATTTGCCTTGAAGCAACTAGCAGCTTCAAGCAAACTGGTCACCTCCTCCTCAATCTCTTTGCAAATCTGCGCATAGTGCGCTCGAACTTCTGACCTGAGTTTATTAGGTAGCAAGTTGTTGGGATGTGTAGTTACTTGGGCATTTCTTCATTTGCCAAAGACATCTTCTTCCAAGGAGCCAACAAAAAGCATCTGTCCGCTTTGAACACTCCACAGCAACTATCAAGTTTTGTTCGCTCAAGAAACCCTGAGTTCCCCACTTGGAGTGTGGATTCTCCGAAGCTCTGCGAAGTTGATGTACCTTCACAGGTACAGCGGTGAGACCACGTAAGTGTACAATCAACATCCAAGGAAGACGCCTACTTTGCACACGTGCACACATGCTCATGTGGGAAAGCTAAAACAATTCATGTATACGCACAGGGGAGGGGAATTCCCAGTTGTTGCAAAGGTTGAACGGGTTCTGCGGGCTAGGAGTTATGGTAGCTTCGGATTCGCTGGCTTCATGGGTTGGGTTCGCTGGCTAGATATTTGTATGTATGTGGGTTATAAAGCAGCAACACCTTCCACTGAAAGCGACCAATATTATAACATGCCTGTAGTGTCTGATATCCCACAGCGTGGCTCTACCTTTCGCTGACTCTTCCCTCTGCTCCGTTTATATCCCACTTGCAAACGGGTTGCTCTATGCAGGAGACGTTTGGAAGGGGAAAAGAGGAATCAAAAACCCACTGATTCTTGAGGGTCTTGAAAAAATACAAAAGGGAATCAAAGAATTGCAAGACCTTTCTTAGGGTAGGCAGGGCTCAAAAGGGATGTTTTAAAAAGAAAACAATAATAAGAATAAAAAATGGGTGGAGTTGGGCAAGTCTAAGTCTAAGTGTCCCTCCCTCCTTCGCTCCCTCCCTCCTTCCCTCCCTCCCTCCTTCCCTCCCTCCATCCCTTCCTGTTGAATTCCTACTGATCTTATCTAACTAACTGTTGACCTTGCAGTGGCCATTTGATGAGAGTATATGAGAAGTGACATGATTGGTGTGTTCAGGGGGGAATGGGCAGGGGATGATTTCGTTCGGTTCATGATTGTATTTGAGTCGCAGCAGTGTCCGGACTTGTCAGTGACGGGAACCCTTCCGCGCGCGCCAAAGCTGCGACTTTCAGATGTGGATGTGAAGTGTGGCGCTTCTCCCGCGAAAGGTGCGATAGTTCTTTTGCAGCTTGCTCCAAAGAGCTTTCAAAGGAACTCT